AGCCTATGGATTTCCTAATTATCTCTAAATTGTCCTGCCCAATAAATTCTCCTTGATTGTTTCAGAAGATTTCTTTAACAACTAAGAGATTTTCTCCATTTACTACTTTAGATTACTAAGCACACTATTTAGGAAGGTATATTCAACCTAAAGTCAAAACCAAGTTATTAATAGGTTTTGTATTAACAGTAGGTAACAGCCTCCCTTTTATCCATGAAGAAAATGCAGCCTTCCTCTCTGTCTCCTGCCTCTTTCCTCTCAGCCCTCAAGATTACAAACCTCCTCATTTGCTTTCCCTACATTTTAATTAGGCTGATAGGCACAGAAATGCAAAGTGATTAGTAAGAATGAAGAATTTGGCTGCATAATTTATAGACCCAGTAATAACACACCTTATAGGACTCCTGTAGAGACACAGGTGTTGACTCTCTGCTCCCTGGGGGACTTTTCCATTAAGATAATGTGGCTTCCTCTTTATGCCTGAGTAGTGCTGAGAATTATATGTTTTAGAGATAGTCATCTAAGACCTTGCCTCAACTTTCTTGTCTTTCCTATGCCATATGGGCATTCTATGAAGCCAATTTATTCATTCCATATTCATTACTTTATTTTTATTGATCATTCTATTCTGCTTATTATTCATTCTCGTGAGTATATCATATGAAAATCCAGAGCATTTAAAAGTACTTGAATCTGTTAATGGCATTTTCTAGCATTTCCACTGATTTTTTTAAATAGTTTCCATCTCTGCAATATTCTCCATCTATTTATACATGCTGTCAAATTTTACATTATATCATTTAATATATTAATAGTTTCTACAATTCTTTTGTTAATTCCAATACCTGAGTCATCGCTGAATCTAGTTTTGTTTATATTGACAAAAGTTGTTTTTTTTTCTAGCTTTCTTGTGTGTCTCAATTTTTGACTAAATGTCAGACATGCAAAAAACAGAAAAGACTAAGGGACATACTACTTACACCAAGATGAAAAGGTGCATCTCTTTTTGTATCAGACAGTTAGTATGGGGATGTTGTATAATAAAGAATTTGTTTGGTCTTTGTCCCAAATTCCTGAAATGGGGGCCTCTAAACACTTGAAATTTCCTGATTGATAGGAATTGGACCACACATGAGTTTATGCTAAGGATGTGACTCAAGATACAGGGTGAGTCATGTCAAAAAAAATCAACCATGTGATTAGAGGGTTGAGGCTTTGAGTCACTTATCAGCCTGACCTACTGACTCTGGGGAGGAGAGGGAAGGCTGGAGACCAAGTTCATTCACATGGTCAGTAATTCACTCAAACATCTCTGTACTGAATGAATTTAATCATTCAGTCTCTGTACTGAAACCCCAATAAAAACTGAACATGATGGCTCAGTTGAGCTCCCTGAACACAGCTATGTGCTGCGAGGTGATAAATCCTGATTCCACGGGGAAAGGACAACTCTAAGACCTTTCCCTAAGTGCTCTTTGACTAGACCTGATTTTTATCTTTTATAATAAAACTAATCAAAAGTATAGTGTTTTCTAGAGTTCTATGGGTTGGTTCTAGTGAATTGTCAAACCTGACAGGGTTGTGTAAACTCTAATTTGTAGTCAGAAGTGTGGGTGGCCTGGGGATATCTGAATTTATGGCTGGCATCTGAAGTGAGTGCAGTTTTGTTGAAGACTGTGACCCTACGTTGTGGAATTTAACTCCAGTGGATAGCATCATGATTGTATTACACAAATGGCCAACAAGTGCAGAATAAGGTGTTCAACATTACTAATCATCAGAGAAATGCAAATCCAAACCACAGCATCACCTCACAGCTGTTAGGATGGCTTTTATCTAAAAAGACAAGCGGTAACAGGTGTTGGCGAGGACATGTAGAGAAAAGGGAACCCTTGTACACTAGTTGCAAGAATGTAAGTTGGTATAGCCATTATGAAAAACTGTATGGAGGTTCCTCAAAAAATTAAAAATAGAGCTACCATATGATCTAGCAGTCCTACTCGGGGCATTTGAAATAAATGAAATCAGTATCTTGGAAGCATTTGCACTCCCATGTTCACTGCAGCATTAGTCACAATAGCCAACATATGGAAACAACCTGTGTCTGTCAGTGGGTGAATGGATAAAGGTGTGGTATGAAAGTATGTATGAATGTGCGTATGTACACACACAGTTATATACATACACATATATATTATTCAGCTATCAGCTATAAGAAAGGAGATCCTGCTATTTGCAACAAAATAGATGAATCTGGAGGACATTACACTACATGAAATAAGTTAGACAGAGAAAAACAAATACTGTGTGATCTCACCTGTGGAATCTAAGAAAAAAAGTCAAACTCTTAGAAAGAGAGGGTATAATGTTGGTTACCAGGGTTTGGGAGTTGGGGAAATGTGGAGATGCTGGTCAAAGAGTACAAACTTTCAGTTGTGAATAAGTTCGGGGGATCTAATATACAGCATGGTGATTATAGTTAATAATACTGTATACTTGAAATTTGCTAAGAGAGTAAATCTTAAGCATTCTCACCACACACATACAAAAGGTAACTATGTAGGGTAATGGATGTGTTAATTAACCTGATTGCAGTTATTGTGAAATCATCAAATAATCATGTTATAGATTTTAAATATATACAATTGGCAATTATACCTATTAAAAATGGGGAAAGAAGTCTTCCAAATTTAATCATTAAAGTTCAGTCTAGGTTTTCTTTTGCCATGATTTGAAAGTGACCTAAATGGATGTGGATATCCCTGAAATGAAAAAGCATACGGTGCAGAATAGCTTTTCTACAGATTTCTATTAACTACAGAATTTCTATTGCTAGGCACCCTGTATGTTCATAAAATTGTAATGTTAACAATTATGTTTCTCAAATTCACATCCAACCCTCTTCAGCATTTTATTCTCTATATAAAATGAGCTCTAATGTGGGCAAGTCATCCAACAAAATAAGTTGTGACCTCTAAATTGTTGATACTGATAAAATGATTTTTTTATGTGTCTTATTTTTCACTCCTATCTGGGTAATGCAGAAATTATTGTCTTATTAATATAGTAAATATAACAGCATTATAAGTCAGAAAGTAGGATGTACTTTAAAGCTGCTAGATGTACAATTTAATTGTAAAGGATGTACAATTTAAAAATTGTATTATCGTATTGCAGAGAAGGTTGAGTCAAAACTAGTCAGTTTAGCTGCGTTTTGGGTTTTTTTTTTTTAGATCTTTGCTACACCAGAGGCTTCAAATTCCTTTAGTTTTTTTAGCTGCTGTTACATTGTACTTAGAGTGGGGCTTGGGAAACTTGAAGGTTAATCTTAGAAACCTGAAGCTTATTCTTGCCCTGGCCTCCTCTTTCAGCTCTCCTTGTATACCTTTGCCACAGAGGGGGTCTCTCTCCAGGCACTTCCTCTACCCCAGTGATGCTAGTGCTTTTTACTTAGTGCTAGGCTACCTGTTAGGTCATGGGTGTTCTGTTGCCTGTTCCAACCTACATCTTAGCCCAGGACTCTCCTTCCTCGGGTGGGGGTGGTTCCTACTCTTGTACTCCATGGCAGTCACTATCTGTGGTTGGTCTTTTTCAGGGAAGTTTCCTCCCCAGCATTAGATCTCTGCTTTGTATCAGTGTAGAACTTCTGGAGCTAAGATTTCCTGACCCTCCTCCAGGAGTGGAGGGTTTTTGTTTCTATCCTTCCCACAGTAATGCTGCAGCTCTGTTTGTGTCTGGGGCTAAAGGGTTTTCTACCCCATCCTCAGGGACAGATAGGTTTTATTTCTGTTCCTTCCTTACATGCAATACAATTTTGGGAGCCTTGGCACTAAGAGGGCTTGCTGTTCCTGCTCTAGCAGCTTAAAACTTTTAAGAGAAGGGTTCAGAAAGCAGGTGGGGCCTTTGGGCGTATCACCCAGCACAAGCCTATCACCTCAAGTCTGCCTGCACCAAGACAGCTCTCCAGACGTACTGCCCTTTTCTCAACCTTTCTTCTGAGTACTTGGTGGAGGTTTGAATCCTGAGGCTCCTAGATATTCTAAATCAACACACTACCCCACATTTAGCCTTTAAGAATTTAAAATTTCACTTGATTTCTTTTTATCCAGGCACCTCTGTCTCCTGTGCTCTACTAAAATGAAATAGTTCATTTCACAGATACTGAGGCCCATCTCAATTTAGTTGGTTGTCTTAAGGCCTCAACTATCTGATAGACTCAAGAAAAATTACTTTTGTAGATTATATGGCATTTTCTTGTATATGTAGGAGCAACATTTTCATGCAGCTAATTGAAAGCTTTTATTTTCACATTCTAAGTGAACTCTCATACTCTTAATTCTTACAGATTAATCTTGTACATTTCTTTTCCAATTATGAATAAAAATCACAAATTCTAAAAATGACTAGAATTTTACTAAACTTAACTTTGGAGGAAAGGACATTAAATGCACTATTTGGTCTTCCCACCCAGAAATACTGGTATTTCCACTATTTATACAAATAGCACTTCAGTTTCCTTAATATTAAGACGATGATTTGTTAATTGTTTCTAACTTAAATTCCTTATTGTTACAAACAGAGATGGCTTCTGGTATTAAAACATAAAGATGCATAGGAAAATCAGAAATTACTAGGTTAGAACCAAATTAATTTTATAGGTACCTTAGGATCATAACAGAAATTAAGCATTATATAGCTCTGAGCTTCCTAGGAGAAAGTCTGAAAGGGAAACAATGGGCTATATAGTTCTCATAGTTCAATAGAGTACAATTTATCTGGAGAAATTTTTCTTGCATCGAAGCTTAAGAGATTTTAAAATATAGTTCCTTTTAGAAATAACAAGATAAAAAGTGAGTTTAACCATTGTTTTGTAGAAAATAGTGATATGCCCTTCAATTGACCATTTCTTTACCATACTTTAATAAAGGCTAAGAGAACACTTCCTATATTAGTAGAAAAATAGGAATTCTCACTACTAAATGTGAAAAGTCGAAGTAATCCTGACAAGTTTTTCAGAATCGTTGAAAATGTTTATTTAGAAAACATTTTTCATTGGAAAACAGCAGAAACAAAAGAACTATCACATTTCATATAAGCAGTTGAATGCCATGCTGAGATGGCTCCACAATAAAAGCCATACCAATTACTACTGTGTATGGCTAGGGATGGAGGTGGGGAGAAAATAAAATGAGATTTGAGATAGAGGTAGAAGGTAACTAACTCTTTTTTTACTGCCAGCAAGTTTTATTTGGAGAGGAACCTCTGGAAAACCATGAGTTAGGATAGCTCTAGTCTACTAGCATGTCAGAGGCAAAACCAGTAAAATCTCCTGAAATATAGGATTTGTGTCACTTACAAGGATCTCTCGCTAAGGAGGTTTGGTTCCACCAATGAATAAAGTCCCTAACTCTATACTAAGCTCATCCTTTGGAACATCGATCGCATCTCCTGCTTCTTCCCCAAGCTTTTTCCACCAGGGTGCTTGTATATGCTTCAGGGTGGCGAGGTGGGCCTGCTTGGCCTTGGCTGCCACAGGCCTGGATCTACTTAGGAACAGCTCAGGTTCTTTCCCTGCTGCCTCCTTCAGACTTGGTGCCTCTGTAGTAAACAGAAACAAATGGAACAAAACAAAACAAAAAAACAAGTGAGTGGAAGAGTTCTATACCAAACAAGTAGGAACTTGGAAACTAGAGTTGGGACTCTGTAATAGTAGGCAGGGACAGGCTTACAACTCTGAATCTATTATCACTGCCAGCTGCATATAGCATGTGGCTATTTCATCTGTATAGCTTTGGCTGGCAGTGACTACACTCCCCTACCCCAATTCTGTGTTTAAAAGAAAAAAAATTGTAGATTTTAGAAGATAATTTATTTAAAGAACAGGAACTTTTGAAATAATAGCAGAACCGCATCCTATATATGAGATGTTCAGTTCAGTGACCTGACCATTCAAAAATACAAAATTTGCAAGTAGTGTTATGAAACAGAGGACCCTGACCCTTTCTACTCCATTAAGTGTTTCAGAGGCTGACTGAAATACTGTGGCTTTATGGATGGGAACTTTCATGAAATGCACCAATAGTTGTGAAGAGATAAATCAATTGACATTATGTCATTAAAAATTATAAAATGATGCTGTAACTATTGTCATCATCTACTTCTAAAAGCTTTTGAGACTACATAATAGAATCTAGTACGGCTTTAAAATTAGTAACTTTGAGTTGTTACCTATGAATGATAGCAAGGCTGGGGGAAGCAGTTAAGAAGGAGGTTATGGGATCTAGATCATTTGAAAACATCGTGTGGTGGCATGATCTAAATGTAGAAATTTCTGAGGACAGGAGATGGGCTAATAGACCATTAACAGTAATTTTATTCTGAAGATTTTAGAGGTCAAAAAATCTTGCACAGGATGTTCTTTGTAGGAAACAAACATGGAGTGAGCACATACTCATTAACTGTTCAATGTTGGTGCTGATCTGAGCCATCAGGGCCTCCCTGTGCTGCTCGGCTCTCTCTTGTAGGACCCTGCCCATTAAGTAATGCTGCAGTTGTTCTTGAGCTTGAGAATGGAGCTCCCTGCTGGTCACATCTGACATCTGAGTGCTCTGGAAATGGAGAATAGAAAGAATTGTCACAGGAAGAACATATTTATCAAAGTATGTTTCACCCAACCACTTAGCAGAGGTTCCAAAATGCTTAAATGTCTCTCATCTTATCAATTGAATTCTATGATTGATGTCTACCTTGTACTCTTGTGCAAGCACTGAATAGCCTCTTAAGAGCAGCTTTAGATACAAATGCAGGTGGGGGAGGTTCTTTTTGGTATGCTCTCATACCACACTTTCTCATACACTGTGGAACTGAGGAAGAACAGATTGAGAAATCACAGAGAAAATTACAAATGGTTTGGTAAAGATACTGGCCTGGAAGCTTTGTTCCAGACCCCAACTTTACTTCTTATCCAACTTTCACTCCCAAACTTATCTAGGATATCATGTTATAACTGGTTTCACAGAATAAGGGATGAAATCAGCCAAAGGACCACATTCCTTTAGCTAGTCAGCTGCTTCAAAGGGAACTTAATTAGTTTGGACAAGGATGCAATAATCTTAACTTTGAAGCTGATAAAACTTCTGACACCACAGCTTTCTCAAATTTTCCAGTTCCTGGATCTTGGATGCAACCCAATTACAGCTAACATCTTACTTTTCAGCCACAGAATCTTAAACAGCTGCACTAGATTGTAACTAAAGCAGTACTTCTTTTTTAAACAGGAGTATGCATCAGAATCACTCAGTGCATTTAAAATAAGATAGAAATCAAAGACCAAAATTTAAGACCTAAAACTCTAAAACTCTTAGAAGAAAAGATAGGAGAATAGCTTCATGACATTGGATTTGGCAATGATTTCTTGGATATGAGACTGAAGGAGTAGGCAACAAAAGAAAAAATAGACAAATTTGGACTTCCATCAGAATTAAAACTTTTGTGCATCACTAGACACTAAAGGCAGTACACAGGAGAAAATATTTGCAAATCCTGGTAAGGGATTAAGATCCACAGAACTCCTAACATTCAACAACAAAAAACCAAAGAACCTAATTAAAAAATGGCCAAACACTTGAATGGACATTTCTCCAAAGAAGATATTCAAATGGCCAATAAACACATAAAAAGATGCTTAAAATCACTAATCATTAGGGAAATGCAAACCCAAATCCAGTAACAATGACACACCACTTCATATTCATTTGGACGTGAAAGTAACAACAGGTGAGGATGTGGAGAAACTGGAAACACTGTGCACTTCTGCTGGGAAAATAAAATGGTCAGTGCTTTGGAAAATAGTATGGTGCTTCCTCAAAAAACTAAAAATAGATACTGTATGATGCAGCAATTCCACTTTTGTGTATATACACAAAAGAAATTAAAGCAGGGACACATGTGTACATTCATGTTTATATTCAAGAGGCAAAAGATGGAAGCAACTCAACTGTCTATAAACAGAAGAATGGATAAACAAAATGGGGTATATACACACAATAGAATATTATTCAGCCTTAAAAAAGAAGGAAATTCTGATAAATGATTTGTGGATGAATCTTGAAGACATTATGCTAAGTGAAACAAGTCAGTCAGAAGGATAAATACTACATGATTCCACCTATACCATTTATAAATACATAAAGTAGAATGGTAGTTGCCTGGAGCTGGGGGGAAGGGAAAATGGGAAATTACTGTCCAAGGGATATAAGATGAAAAAAGTTGGAAGATCGATGGTAGTGATAGCTGCACAACAATGTGAATGTAGTTAATCTCTGAGCTGTGTACCTAAAAATGATTAAATGGTAATAGTTTTATATATTTTACCACATTTAAATAAATTTTTAAAATACAGTATACAAGGACACACCAAACCTTCTAAATCAGAATTTCTTGGGGGCTATGTGTTAGGAGTTGGGGGTGTGTGTGTTGTGCACGTTACTTTTTAAAGGGATTAAATTTTTAACTCTAAAACTGTCCTGAAATGATTAAATGGTAATTGTTTAATCCTCTATGGATCTTAGGACCCAATGATGTATTTGTTGTGGAAGAGGGACTTTCTTTTTTAGTATTTAGGTTAAATTTTTTTTTAACATACAGCTTTATTGAGGTAAAAATGACACCCAATAACCTTTAATTCAAAGTATACAATTTGATGAGTTCTGACACATGTATACATCTGTGAAAACCACCACCATAATCAGGATATTGACACCCATCACCATCAGGAGTTTCTTAGTCTTTTTATAATCCTTCATTCCCATATCCCCCCCAACCTCCCATCTCCAATTAACCAATATATTTCTTGGAATCAACCTATTTTTTTTACTATAGGTGAGTTTACATTTTTTAGAATTTATATAAGTGGAATAGTAATAGTATGTATTCTTTAGCTTCTTTTATGTAGCATAGTTATTTTGAGATTCATCCATGTTGCTGCCTGTATCAATAATTCATTCCTTTACATTGCTGATTAGTATTCCACTGTATGGATATATTACAGCTTGTTTATTCATCTGCTGAAGGACATTTTGGGTGCTTCTGGTTTTTGGCTATAAGCATTCATGTACAAATGTTTGTATGGACATATATTTCCTTTTCTCTTGGGTAAATACTTAAGACTGGAATGGCTGAATCACATTATAGATATATGTTTAATGTTTTAAGAAATTGCCAAACTGTTCCCAAAGTGGTTGTACTATTTCACAATCCCATTAGTAGTTATGAGAGCTACAGTTCCTCTACATGCTTGCCAACCTTTGGTATAGTCAATCTTTGAAATTTTAGTCATTCTAACAGGTGTTGAAGTATTCACTGTGGTTTTAATTTGCATTTCCATTACTGACTGATGATGTCTCTTTTCATGTATTTGCCATCTGTATATTTCTTTGGGGTGAAGTGTCTGTTCAAATCTTTTGCCTATTTAAAAAAACTGCTTTGTTTTCATCTTGTTGAGTTTTGGGAGTTCTTTCTATATTTTGGATATAAGCCCTTTACTGGATGATTTGATGTTCAAAATACTTTCTCATTTCTCTTTTCTTTTCTTCTTTGATCCTTTGGTTATTTAGAATTATGCTGTTCAGTTTTCAAATATTTGGGGATGACATATCCAGAGATTTTTTTTGAATTTCAAACTTAATTACATTGTGATCAGAGAACATACTTCGTATGATTTTAGTCTTTTTGAATTTATCGTGACTTGTTTTATGGCACAGAACATGATCTATCTGTGCACATGAATAAAATGTAGATTTTGTTATTGTTGAGGGGAGTGTTCTAAAAAATGTCAATCAGGTCAAATTGTTTGATAGTGTCATTCAAGTCTACTATATTCTTGTTGCTTTTCTGCCTACTTATTCTGTAAATTTTTAAGAGATCGATTGTGGAATCTCCAACTATAACTGTAGATTTTTCTATTTTTCATCACAGTTCCATAGTTTTTACTTTGTGGTTTTTTTTTTTTTTACTGTGGCACATAAAATTTATGTTAACTACTTTTAAATATACAGGTCAGTGACATTAAATACACATTGCTGTGCAACCACCACTACTGTCCATCTTCAGAAATGTTTTATCTTTTCAAACTGAAACACCATACCCTTTAAACTGTAACTTCCCATTCTCCATCCCTAGCTCTTGGAAACCACCATTGTATTTCATGTCTCTATGAAAGTAGAATCATAAAATAATCATCCTTTTGTGTCTGGTTTATTTCACTTAGCATAGTGTCTTCAAGGTCCATCCATGTTGTCCTCATTTATTCTGAAGCTCTGTTATCAGGTGCATAAACATTTGGGATTATTACATCTTGATTAATTGACCCCTTTATCACCATGAAATAGTCTTCTTTACTTCTGATAATATTCTTTGCTCTGATATCTACTTTGATATTAACATTGTCACTCCAGAATTCTTTTCACTTGTGTTTGGCACACTCATACTTTGTTCTTTCTAATTTTTAACATTTTTGTACTCAAAGTGTATACAATCAACTCTTATTTTTTAATGTAATCAGACAATCCCTGCTTTTTAATTGGGGTGTTCAGACTATTTACATTTAATGTAATTATGATATGGTCATGTTGGAGTCTATCACCTTGCTATTTGTTTGCTATTTTTCCCATCAACTTCTATGTTTCCTCTTTTTCTGCTTTCTTTTGATTAATCAAGTATATTTTATAATTTCATTTCATTTCCTTTGTAGACTTAGTAACTATAACTTCTTTAATTTTAGTAGTTGCTTTAGGATTCATCATATACATCCTTACCTTACCAATCTACTTTCAAGTAGTATTATCCCACTTCATGTTTAGCATATGAATCTTTCAATACTATACATCTCTCTCTCTTCCCCTGGCTTTTATACTATTGTTGCCAAGCATTTTACTTTTATATATGTTATGAAAGCACTATACATTGCTATTTTTTTTAAAGCAAGGACCAAACTAAAACCAACTGCTTGTTTTTAAAAATGAAGTTTTACTGAAACATAGCCACATCTATTTCCTTACATATTATCTATGGCTGATCTAGTCCTACAACTACAGTGGTGAGTAACTGTAATAGAGGCTCTATGGTCTACAAAACCAAAACTTTTTATTATCTGGTGTGCATTACAGAACATTCAATGACATCCTGATTCAAAGAGTCAATTATATTTTATAAAGATTAAAATGATGAGGCAAATGTCTAAAATATTTATTTATATAGTTGCCATTTCCAGTGCTCATAATTTCCCTGTGAAGAATTAGCTATTTCTCTGGATTGTTTTGACAGAAATCTAAAATCCTTTACAACTTAAAGGAGATAACATTTCTGGCAATGTGAACATGCTGGTGATGAAGTATTTCATCTTCCATATGTCTGAAAAAGTTGCTGTTTTGTCTTTGTTTCTGAAATATTTTCAGGTAAAGATTTCTACATTGATAGCTTTTTCAGTAATTTAAAGAAATATATCTTCTTTTTGAATTGTTTTTGCTGAGAAATGTGTCATCTCTTTGTCTTTACATAATATTTTTGTTTTTTCTGTTTTTAAGATTTTCACATTATTTCTGGTTTGAGATATTTGATTATATGTCTTCACAGATTTTTTTTTCCATTTGCCTTTGGGCTTGGGTGTAGATTTATAATTTTAAGTTTGTAAAGTTTTTGGCCATTGTTTTTTTCTCATCTTCTTCAGGGACGTCAATTATTCATTTATTAGGCTAGTTGACATCTCAACAGCTAATGTTCAATATTTTGAAAATTTTTTCTGTGTTTCATTTTGTAATATATACATTAGTATTCCTTCAACAGTAGTTTCTATCCATCAATGTCTAATGTGCTAGTTATTTGATCCAGTGTATTTTTCAAAATGCACATGGAAGTTATCATCTCTAGAAGTTTGATTTGGGTATTTTTTATATCTTCCACATCTCTACTTAAATTTTGAACATATGGAATATAGTTATAGTAACTGTTTTACTGTCCTTTTCTGTTAATTCTACCATCTATGCAATCTCTAGGTTGGATTATCCTCCTCACTGCAATCATGTTTTCCTGCCTCTATGCATGCCTATTAATCTTTGACTGAATGCCAGACATTGTGACTTTTACCTTAGTTAGTGCTAGATATACTGGTGCTCCTGAAAATCTCAAGCCTTTTCCTAAGAAGCAATTAAATTACAGGAAAACATTTTATCTTTTTGGCTCTTGCTTTTATAATTTGTTCGGCAGAATACAATAGTCTAAGCTACTGATTTTCTACTATAAGGTGAGACCTTCCTGAGCACTCTTTCCAGTCCCCTGTGAATTAATGCCCTGTGAGTTTTACCAGTCGTGATGGGAACATGCACCCACCATTCTTGGACCTGTGTGAGAACAAGGTACTTTTCAGATGACTGTTTCCTTGGCCTTGGGCAGTATCCTTTCATGCTTGTGCTGGTTAGTATTATGAAATATACTCAAGGGGAACATTCTGCAGATATATGGGGTTCTCTCTGCAGCTCTCTTTGTTCTGGTACCCTGTCCTATGAAATCTAGTTGCCTTATTCTCCTCAGATTCTCAGTTCCAACTGCTCAGCATAGGGATTCCAAAAAGCTCCTCCTCTGTCCCTTCTCCTTGTGCTGTGACCTAAAAACTCTCTCAAGACGGTAAGCTGGGGTAATCATAGGGCTCAGTTTGTTGCTTCTGAGGGATTACTGACCTTTGTTGTCTATGTCCATGTTCTTGAAAAACATTGTTCAATATATTTTATCTCCCCCACCGCCCCAGTTGTTTCAGGCAGGAAGTAAATCCAGTCCCTGTTATTCTATCTTGACTGGAAGCAGAAATCAAAACTTTTTTCAACTGACATCCAAGGGTAGGCGTGTCCTCTTCTCTTTCTCCACAGGCTCATATTAATTTGTAGGTTCCTAAATTCAGATCAGTGGGAGGGGAAGTAAAGGCCTTACTTATGCCTCACAGATTGAGTCTTGCTGCTCAATTCTGCTTTTAGCAAGCTCAGTTCCAGTGGTTATCAAGTAAATGCTCAGGTATAATACATTAGTACTCTGGTTTCCACTTATATAGTTTTTTGGGATTTCTTTTGCATAAAGCTCTTTAGTTTGGGGAATTCAGGAAGAATGAAAGGATGAATGATAGGATTACATAAATATCACATCAAACCTCTAACATTAATCATCCAGACCTTCAGATTTTAGACATGTGTTTGTATGTGAGAGTGAGGAGAGGGAGAAAATGAACCCAGCCACAAACAACAACAGAAGTACAATAAACTGGATGTGAAAAGTACCAAGTGGCACTTTTATGAGTGGTAGGTTCAAATGAGGGAAGTAAGAATCCGGATTGGCTGAAATGTGTGAACTACCAACTTTCTGCATAAAATTAGAGAAGTGTAGAAGCATGGGAAAAGGATCAAGAGAGAGGACAGTGGAGGTGATAAGCAGAGGTGGTTATTAAAATTAGTAACAGGGATGATGAGTCACTCTAAAAGCAAAAAAGAAAATGATTTTCAAAGACATATAGGAGTACAAGGTCAAGAATTCCAAAGGGAAAAGCAAACAACACCTGATCTGTAGTACTGTGATTCTAGAAAGTGAAAGACATAGACATTTCTATTGGGAGAATGGTACTAGCAATATTACAGTGATCCAATCCTAAGAGGCAGTCAGTATGTTTTACATTACTAGCTCCTGGAGTTTCAGGAATAGTCTAGGGGATATCAGTTCCTACATGCATGCATTATGTGTTTTTGAGTATATACATGTAAGAATGCGTACTGACTAGCATCTATATATACCCTTTCTAGAAGCTTCTACATAGTCAGTTTTATGTACCTTTGCCAAAAAACAATGACCAAGATGTGCTGATACAATATGGGAAATAACTGATTTGAAGCAAAGTCTCCTTTACTATTGACTATTCTTCTTATGGTAATCATAAGCCTCCAAGTGTATTAACTCTATAGTAAAGCCACTGCACTACCTTATTACACCAACAATAAATGTACATATACATATAAGAGATTGTTCTGCTGGTGAGTATCATGCACTGGGATAATGTTACACTGATATCGTGGCACAGAAGCCTACATACTGGATGTCTTCTGACATAGTCATCCACTTGTTGCTTCAGTTCAACTCTGCGTGCATCACTGAGTTCTTGAAGTCCTCGCCAAGGAGTAAATAATTTCCTTTTCTTACGGCACTTGGCTAGGAATTTGAGAGTCTGAAAAAAAAAAGGTTTGTGATTTTTATTTCCTGACTAATGTAACCATTTTCTTCCTAGACATACAGTAACAGCAACACTGCAACCGATGTTAACTGACTGTGTCCAGGCAGAGGGAGGGGCGCATGATGGGAGGAAGGGAGGGTAATGGCTTTAACTGCATTCTTCTGCAGTATTTTAACACTTTACGAGGATATATTCATATATTATATGTACAGTAAGCAATAAAGAGAGAAAAAAAAAGAAATAAATTCTAATCTCATTTCTAGTCCTTTATATACTATATGATTTTGGGCAAGTCACTTGATGTATCCAGAACAGGTTCTATGTCTACTTTTCTGTGTTTTTTTTTTTCAGTTATAAATAGGTACTATTTACAGACTTTCTTGTATGGAAGATAAGAATTTAGCTTTCACTGCTTGTATTCCCACATACTTTCCATAGCCCAAAACATCCAGTATTATTAAAAATTTAGTTAAATAAATGTTCAGCATTTACATAATTATAACTACATAAAGACTATTCATTTTTTAACCAGACAGTATATGATGACTGCTCTTCCTTCTATGCACATTTTTTTCTCTAGAATTAGTAATTCTGATATTTCCCTGTGCTTAGTTTTCTATGCACTTACCATTGATTACGTATCACAAACTGCCCTGTTAATACATTAAAACATATTAGGCATTCTATCAAATTCATTTTCTTGGACACACATTGCCTGGAGCTCTCTGACCTGCTCCAATCTGGATTGGCTGTTCTCTATGTCTGGTGTACAACTGTCATCCTCAGATCTCCATTCACCATCATCTTAGTGACTCCTATTCATCTTTCCTTTTTGTTTCCTGGATTCCATGTTGTCTTCTTCCTTGGGTTATTCCCTTTTTTTAGAAATTTTGTGATGCACAAAAATATCTTGAGTCAACCTTTACCATTAATTTATTGTTTAGCTAGGTGTAGATTTCTAGTTAGAAATCATTTTTCCTCAAACATGTGAGAGGCTTACTCCAATACATTTTAGCTTCCAATGTTGCTACTGGTAAGTACTTTTGTTCCCAGTGTATTTCACAGTAATGCGAAATAAACATGGGTGTGAATCAGTCAGTCCTTTAAAACTCATGACATCCAGTTCTAAGAAACCTTGAATTATTTGATTTTCTCTCCTTAAGTTTTTTTTTAGTTCTTTGCTTCAAATATTTCAATGTTTGACCTCCTGGATTGGTTATCTTTTATTTCTGTCCTGCTTTCTAGATTTCCCAAACTTTTCCCCCCTAGCCTTTTTATTATGTCTTTCATTTTTTCTTTTTCTTCTATTTGTTCTTTTAGAAATAAATTTGTAAATAGAAAATTTATTCTATTTATTTGTTCTTTCATGTAGTATCTTGGTTTTTTTTCATGTATTATCTTCTCTTAGTTCTCTGAGGAATAATAGATTTTTAAAGTTTTCTTAGTCCTGCCATCTCTGTTTTTCTACCAAGTAGTTTTATTGTTTGTCTTGGCCTCAGCTTTCCTTAGATGTTTTGTGATACTGTCAGCTGATATTTAAGAGTGGGCACTAAAAGCTATTCAGTAGGGTTTATCTATTAGTACTTCAATACAGGGCTACTGAACTGAGTTGCTGCTTTGGGGTTCCCCATTGTGAGTATACGTATG